ATCAAGTCTGATCCAAACTGCTGATTATTTGCAGCCTCGACAGTCCTAATCTCCTTCATATGGCAATCTCATAAACGCACAATTCTGAATCCAGTGTAGTTCTTGTAGGCCTCGGGGGTCTTTGAAAATCCTGTCTTTCCACAACACCGAACAGACGATTGTAAGCACTCTGAAAATTTGTGGTCAAGTCAAAAACTAATAAGTGCGTTGCGCTAACGGCGTTTTTTCATGCCAGGAGAAGATTCACAAAAGTCGAGCTTTTACGAAGAAGGACTTAGTTACAAAATATGCGTGTACTAGAGAAAAATGGCCCCAGAGAGGCCAGGTTACTGACATTCAGAGCACACAATAGCTTCAGTAATTTGCATATCACGACCGGCTGAAGCAAACTCACTCAAGCCGCAGTGATGCATCGAATGTGCTGATTCTCTCCTCAAATGAGCTGCTGCCTACTTGAAATCTGAAGCCAAGCCATGACCGGATGCTGCGGGCACGGAAGTCTGGACTACTCAGAAGACGCTTTGGAGAGGCAACGGTGATGATGGCGATGACGACGGCAACGAAGACCACAAGATGAGGATTAGGTTGATGAGTTAGCATAACATTGGCCTGTTTGTAGACAAGAGCTTGAAGTAGTCATGGCAATTGGCGTTGATTGTAAGTAGAATAAAGTGCATGAAAATTGTTTGGTGAAGAGCTTCAAATGTGGATCTCACCAGAAGACAACAGTGGATTCCTCCTGACCAGCTGTCAATTGGCCCTACGGAACCATTCTTGTTGGCGTTGTTTCCGAGGCAATAGCTTTCGATTCCAGTGAAAATGTGTTCAGTTTTCTTCTGTCATAAGATGAACATCATCAGAGCAGGGTATCATCCTTATAACCAAATTCAAGTCAACGAGTCAAGAAAACTCACCGATTCATCCCTAAAAAGCCGTATATAAACTGTATTTATGACCTATTTGATGAGGTATCACGTGATTTTATTAGTTCAAGTTATATGCCAACCTCGAAGCATGTGGGCGTATCTGTCTATGTGTGTGTGCGCGCCTGCATGCATCCGCATATGTACGGAACCAGCTAAAAGTTATCTGTCCTGAAGGTTTGATGATCACCATCACCCCATTTCTATATGTATGTTTTAATCATCACTCTGGTCGTATACACGTCTGGTAACGTTGATGAGCGTTTTTTGTCTTCATGCGAGAGAGAAAGAGTGGGTTAAAAGTACAGAGAAGTGACCGTTATTAGAACCAAGACAAGAAAATACTAGTTGTGTTGCCTCCTTTTTGCAGACAAATCAGCATCCTCTCTAATCTTGAGTCTATTACTTAAGCACAAGTAGCCTTTTACTTAACTTCTTGTCGATATTTCTTACATTAACTGTATTGCCTATTCGATTTATTTTGATGGCTCCCCTAATTTTACGTTTAGCAGTAGGCTACCATAATCAGCATAACGACAAGCTGAAGAACATTCAATCTAATGTCCAGTTTCTGCCTTGCGCTCAGCTAAATCAGATTTTTCAACGCAACAGCCTCTACAAGCGCTTTGGACGAAAAGTCTTTCTCTGTCATAAAAGCGACCACATGAACATATTATGCTATAGCAACCCGATCTGTACAATGGGTCAACTTTCTCTCTAAAGGTATGAAGACCAAGATGTTGTGGCCTTTTGTGTGGTCGCAGA